ATGTGTCTCTGCAAAGTTTCAAGAGTGTGGAAGAGACATCGGGAGACTGGCCTTTACATGAGGAGAGCTGGTATCTGGTCCTGTATGTGACGAGGAACAGGTGAAGCACTGCCGAAGTCCTACAAAATGACCTATAGGTGTTCCTTTGGTTTTTTTATATTCTGAGAGGTATGTTGGGAGGAACCCGTTTCTAGTACCTAACGCATTTAATAATAACCAGTTTCTGTCAGTCTCAAAGAATGTCAGATGCTTACATCACTGTTTCCAAAGCACTGCAACCCTGAATGCTAAAACAATATACAGAGCTTCATCAGCACTGAGAGATGTGCAGTACCCTACTCGTCTTGACAGCCACTGGATGGCAGCACCACTCACACCCAGACATAAACAAGGAGAAAGCGGAAGTGGAATGACAGAGGCTGTGCTTTAACCAGGCTGACATGTTACCCGCAGTAGTGTCGCCTCCCGGGTAAAGCTGGAATAATGGAAGAGGAGGAGCAGCTGCGCTCTTTGATGTTTCTCGTGACTTACATGCTGCTGAAGCGCATGAGAGACATAAACGACGCAAACATTCAGAGACGCAACGAGATCCAAAGACGCATCAGACACCGCCAGTACTTCTTCCAGAGACAGAGGAGGATGCTCATGGTTAGTCCACCTCTATAGGGGCTTAAAATAATAACACGTCAACATGTCAAGTGCTCTTAACTAATATAGTGTATTATCTGTCTGCAAAACGTCAAAGCTTTTAATAAAGTCAATATCTTGTACACGACCAACACTTCAAATCTCTTAAATCTCACATTTACAGTCATATAAAAGCACTAAAACCAGAGACTGTGGGCCTACCTGCATTTAAACTTGAAAATAGTCAGATCAGCCACAGTCAAGCTGCTAAAAGCTATAAATTAGGTCTGTTATATGCAGGTTTTTGTTAAATAGGGTGTTACATTTTCTGAAATGTTCACAATTCATTAAAAAAAAAAAAAGACAGATATGCAGATACCAGCTGTTGGATTTTCCCCCTGTAAACTTTTGTTTTTATGGTATATTTGGGAAATTTCTATATCTACTTATACAGTTACATTTTACAAATCACAGCAACCTTGATGATATTATGTTGGGATAATGAAAAAGATAGTCATCAAATAAACAACATTACACAGCAAACAAGTACAAGTATGGAAGATTGTTACTGATACAAGAAGGTTTTTTGTGTTATTTTTAGGTTTTTTTGCCATCTCTAACTCAGAATTTCTGGTTAGTATAATATTACAGAGTAAATAGATCATTTTGATGAAAGAGCTTGTGCATATTGGTGGATTAACCCTTGCAGGAAATTATATATGTCTATGTTTTTGGTATTTACCAGTACTGTTAATGTAGCATAGCTGTGGCATAAACTTACATTGGGTGTTGCTCTAATAAATGTGTTATGTAATAATAATGTAATAAGCTTTATAATGTATATTTCTAAAAAAAAATATGCTTCACCATTTGCATTTGTATATCAAATGAGCAACAATTTAAATTTGACAACTATCAAAAAATCTGTAAACTTCATCACTAGGACCAACTTCATATCTCCCCAGTTATTACATGATTTACTGGAAAATAATATTTTGTTACATGGGTAAACTCAGTTTAACCATTTGATTGTGCCAAAACCATATTAAATGTTGACATGTTATTACATGAGTCCAAGAATACAATATCCTAAAATTTTCTGCTATATCAACGGCAGCATGTTTAAAACAAGGGGTTTGCCAAAAAGGTGCTGACTTAATAGATCACTAAAATTACCTTTGTGGTAAATATGAATTCAAAAAATTATCTGATTGAATAACTACTGCGGGGATCAAAAAAGCAAACATTATGTTAAAAAATGTGACAGATTCTGGATATTTCAGAGGGAAGTAATTTAATTTTTTTTTTATCTTTGTCTCTGTAGATGATGATAGCGGGAGGTGTCCGCTCCAATGCCCGCATCCGCACTCGTCCCTGGACCACCACTCCAAGCACAGACTGGTGGGAGCGGGTTGTCATGACAGAATTCCAGCCCTCTGATTGGCTGGATAAGTTTCGCATGAACCGGGAGACGTTCTTCTACCTCTGCGACAAGCTGAGGCCCCGCCTGGCTCGACGCGACACCAGTTTCCGCCTGGCACTGCCGGTGGAGAAGCGCGTAGCTGTAGCTTTGTGGCGCCTGGCATCCAACATCGAGTACCGCACCATCAGCGCCTTGTTCGGTGTGGGGAAGTCGACCGTGTGCAGGTGCGTTAGAGACATGTGTCACGCCATCGTGGCGCTCCTCAGCTCCATCTACCTCCGATCGCCAGGTGAGCAGGAGCTGGAGGATTCAGCTCAGCTGTTCCTGTCTCACTGGGGTTTCCCTCACTGCGTCGCTGCTATAGCAACACTCCACACAGCTATTATCACCCCATCAAACAACGCATCTGACTACGCCAACCCTGCCGGCTGGCTCTCAGTCATGTCGCAGGTGACGAAAGCGCCCATTTATGTCACTGCAATTACAAGCTTGCGGATTATCCAATCAGAGTCCGACCATTTGCCTCTGTGTGCCTTCACTGTTTTAGGTGGCTGTTAGTGGTCGGGGGCACTTCTGGGATGTATGTGCCAGTTTCCCAGGCGGGACAGATCCAGCTGAGATCTTACAGAACTCTTCGCTATGGGCAACAGCCGCCGAGGGTGGACTCTCACCTGCCCCACCACCTACCTTCATGGGAAAATCACTCAGGTAGAGTTAACAGAAGAAATTCAGTCACATTTTTCAGGCATTCAAGTTGTTTTTTTCCTCGTGTATGTCAGGTTTTCACATGGCCTTTGTGTAACAAGCAAATGTAGACACTGTGATGTCATTCTTTAGTTGGTGAAATGTTGCTATGAAGGCTCAAACTGAGCATTTTTATTGTTGCCACATTGATGTTTTGAACCCAAGGACACTGTAATCCTCTTTTCTGACTCTTATATTTACTGAGGTCACAGGGCAAAGGAAACCTAAGCTTGTTTTCCTATAAACTTCTGTACAACTGCACGTCTTTTTAATGTTGCCAACTGCTGGCCAATAAAGATAATACAAATTTGCAAACTGTGAAATGTAGTAGTGTTGAGTGTTTTTGTGTATTTCAGGTGTTCCAGGCATTAAATAAATGACACTCATTTATCACATCCAGGTATGTGTTGCTGGGTGAGGCCTGTTACCCGCTCCAGAGCTGGCTGATGAAGGCCTATCCTGAGGAACAGGGCAGGACGGCGAGTCACGCGGCACTGACGGAGCAGCAGCAGCTGTTTAATGGACGGCTTGCCCGAGCGCTGCACGTGTCTCAGGAGGCGCTGCTGAGGCTGAGGGCACGCTGGCAGTGCCTCAGCAAGAGGAACGACTGCGGACTGGATGTGGTGCCCACCATGATCCTGGCTTGCTGCATTTTGCACAACATGTGCGAGTCTCACGGGGACGCATTTAAAGCGGAGTGGCAGGTGGAGGTGGCCGAGGCAGAGAGTCCCCAACCCAGCCACAAACAGCTTCTCTCTACAAGCATGAACCAAAGTAATAATGAGGAAGTCAGGCAGCTCTTCTGTGACTATTTTGAAGAGCAAAATAAGCTAAATAATTGAACACTTTTTTCCATGTGCAGTTATACCTTTTGTTACATTACCAGCATGACTGGATTACTGAAATAAGAATCTCAATCTGTTGCTTTTTTTTATATTTACCTAACTTTACTTAAATTTATGTCATTACAATTTTTATTGGGCTCTTGAATTTTCTTCAAACTGTTCTTCAAAGAGAACAGTACAGATAACAGAACAGAATTAAACTGAAAAACAGTGAAGTATCTTATAACATGTCAGTTTTCCCTGAGCTCTTCTTGTGAGCCCACCCACACTAGAGACCATGCTTTTCCAAGAGTCTTTATCAATGTTCAGCTTTAAATCCGTCTGCCAGATTAGCCTTAAAATGTCACATTTCCCATACTGTGTGTTGGCAACAATCTTATAAAAGGCAGAGGCAAAGCAAGCATTTCTAAACATTACACTTATTTATGATGCACTTTGGTGAATTGGGTTCCTTTTATTATTATTTTTTTATGGTAACAAGAAACTCCTGTATATGTTTTGCTCAAATGCACTATTCATACAATAATTCAAACTACTACAAAGGCAATAGATTAAACCCTTGTGAGTAATAAAATTAGAGTAGCAGAAATAAAGAAATACAAGAAAGAAATGAATTTATCTTTTCATAATATCATGTTGTCTTCTTTAAAATATGTTGATGTAAATAAAATGGTTTAACAAGTATAAGAGACACGTGTCAGCATAGTCAAAAAGAAAAGGTGGATTTATAACTTATGTTAATTGTTGTATTTGACATGCAATTTGGTTGTCAAGAAGTTGTGACGAGAGACAAGTGACAGTTTTTGAAGGTTTCCCTGGAGATATTTTGTATTTTAATTAATATTTTGGAACCCCTCTTCTACACCTGCCTCGGGACATGTTTAATTTACACAACAAATGCGTGTTCTAGTATTTTGTACAGGGGTTACTTTGAAATTCATGGGTGGGACAGAAATTGTCCTGCAATTGCAGAATGGCCCATTTATGAATGCCAAGTGTCCTCATTTGCTTCATGGACTCAGTGAATGAATGAACACAGTTTTAACAGGCGACACTTGAAATTCTACTATAAGGCCACTAGATGCCGTTGTTATTCCAGCACACTTGACGCTCGCTTCCAATACCCTGCAGGTTATTGATGGAAGGATAAGGAGTGCTTACATATTTAAGCGTTCCTATATATTCTAACATATTATTAAGCTGGAGATAGCATATATGCAACAGGTGCTCTGACTTGGACAACAATAAAAAAAAAAAAACAGCTTTTATCTGGTCATGCTTTTTAGGTTTAGCCTGCATATATCATGGATCTAACTTGAGCCCACCCAGAGACCCGCCTCGTTCATTCAATTGGTCTGCCACGAACCTGTTTGGTGAAATCCGCCGTTTGTCAGTCAACACTACTGTATCCTCCTCCTCGCTTGGCATCATCCTGTTGTGTGCCCACCTAGTTCCAGCGACGAACGACCCGAAAGCTTTCTGCTTGAAGTGAATATATTTCTAGCAAAAGCCGCCGGCTCGGCACGCGTTTTTCAGATTTGTTTTCGGCCGTTGTCGTAGCCTTTTATTTTATCGTCAAAATGAGCCAAGATGTAATAGGCTGCTGTGTAGTTATTGCTAGCTAGGCAGTCAAATTCCTTCAACCAGCAGCCTGCTGCTTCAATCACTGCGGGTTGACACATTTTAGCCGAGGCGCTGTTTAGTGAGCTAGCGGGCTAGCAGGGCAGCCTCCGTAGCCGTTACGTCTAATTTAGCCAGCGTTAGCTGATGTAGTTACTCGGAAAATAGGCGCGGTGCTGCGGTGTGGATAGTGCAATATAGATTACCACTCTAATATTAGCCTACTGACAAGGGGTCTTTACTTTTACAGCCTAAACGGGCTTATCTAGCGTTGGGGAGAGTGCACAGATATCAGCTGTTACGGGTTCGGATGTGGCGACTCTGCGGTCTTAAACCACTTTTAGCGGATTGAGAAGATTAAATTAAAGAAGGTAAAATTGGATCTCCCAGTGACACACGAGGGGTTAATGATATAAACGGGTATTAAGTGGCTAATCTGTGGCAGCTGGAGTCATTTTAATATTAGCTGTATTAAGAGGCGTGCAGGCTGAGAGCATCTCGGGGAGGCCCCACCGTCTCCTGGCTCCCTCCTCCCTGTCCGAATCTCCCGTGATTTGCTGAGATCGCCCGGTTGAAGTCGCAGTTGCTCTCGGCCGGGGGGACAACTTGACAGCGAGGCCCCTTGGCTAGTCTCCCCCCACCCCCTCCCCCAGTCCTATCCATCCATCCACTCGTCCGGTCCGGCACTACTACTACTACCACCACCACCACCTCCTCGCTAGAGACAGAAGCGAGGAAACCGGGGTTCGGGAGAAGCTGAAACCGTGGGCAAGTGTTCGTTAGGTCCCGCCTGAACCGGGCTGCCAAAAACCAGTGGGGATGACTCTGGAGTCCATGATGGCTTGCTGCCTGAGCGAAGAGGCGAAGGAGTCGAAACGAATCAATGCAGAAATTGACAAACAACTCCGCCGAGACAAGCGAGACTCCAGGAGAGAGCTGAAATTACTGCTGCTCGGTATGTAGCATGCTAAATCCCAAACGCCCTTTTTAATAGCCATGTTTGTGTCGTTTATGTGGACAGCCAACCTCCTTGGGCCTTCTTGGCGATGCTAGCAGATACGCTGCTAGTTAAGGTTGCTAGCTGGAAGCCTGGTGTGATTATGAGTAAACGTTATGGCATGGTTTTCCGAAATGCGGAGCTTGTTTTTGCAACTTGCGTTGGATTTGGCTATCTGGCGTGTGCAGGTGCGAATCTGCATGGCATGCCTAACCAGCGGATCCGTCTCTTTATTCGTGTGTGTGTGTGAGTGGATTTTGCATTGGCGTGCAGACAACAGGCTCATTTGGCATCGAAGTTGCGAAGATGTCACCGTTTGCAGGCGACCACATGTTAAGTTATGACGGTCTGATTCATCTCCCAGCTGCAAAACGCTACTGTCGTTTGTCAGCAGGCGCTGGTTAACTGTGAAGATGGCCACTTGATTTAATCGGGGGGAGGAGGGGGGCTTTGAGTTGATTTCAATAGGTTGCATAACATTTGTACAACTGGAAGACCTTTCAGATCCCTCAGCTAGACCTTGTATGGTGCCCACTCATTCATTGTTACATTTCTGTTATTATTTAATGAGTAACTAGTGTCACAAATCTACACTTGCAGAGGACAAGGACACTGAGGGGCTGGCCCCCTCATCCTGGAGTCTAGCTGAGTAGGTTAGCTATTTTTATAGCAAGTGTGTGGGCAGGTGGGAGCTGCTGTTGGATAAGTTGCTCTGTACTGCATTGATTCATAGTTCTGTGGACACAAAAGGGAACAGTGGACTGTGCTTTCTCGAATGTACTCGCTTACCTACCATATTATAACAGACTAACTTCTTGTCCATTATGTGACCCACCCCCTTCCCTCCATGGCTACTTGAACTAATGCTTGGTGTAAGAGCTTGGGGAGGGGGGTGATAAAAGAATCTCCCTTTTTAGGACAATTGGAATTATCTAGGTTGCATCCTTAGTTTCAAAACGTTTGCTCCCATTTCACGCTCACTAAAAGCAGCCCTGGTTATTTGACATGTGTGTCTCCTTTTTATTTCCCTGGTGAGTACCTCAACTAGGTAAAGTAGGCCATTGATGGGACATAGTTGGCCGTGTGTTGTACATCTTCGTCTCTGCTGCACGCTCTTCTACCTGGCTGCCAAGGTGAGCAGGTGAGAAGGGGCGTTTGCTACTCATGCCTGGTAATGAGCTGGATTAATGGAGCTGATTCCAACGGCAGTCTTTTAAACAAACTTTTATGGGTGCATCAGTCTGAAGGACTGAAAGCAAGCGCAAATGGAAACCAGTCACGCTGTAAGTGGACTGTCCTGTACAAGCTAAAGCTGTCAGTGGACGGCTGGATAAGGACGTGTAAGGCAGGATTAGTCCTGGTTTTAATAGGCTTGGTTAAACACATCTGCTGCTCAGACTTTTTAAGGTGTCACTGACTCCTATTATCCCCTGGCATAATTCTCAAGCCCACAACACTCCGTGCGATCTCGGCCTCTCCACACCTCAGTAGAGGATGGAGACGGTCTCCGTTTTTGAACATTTAACCATCGCCTTTCAAAATGGCTGCATTTCTTTATTTAAATTTTTTTTTATAAGGCTCCTTACAGTCTGCACTCATTTACCAGCTTGTAGATACTGATCGCAGGAACCTGCTGTGGCAAAGCCCAGCCCTGACCTTTGGGAACAGTCTGGGGAATTTTTGCCAAGAAACTGCACAGGAGAGGTGGAATGATATTGAGCACCATCTCACATGATTGAGAAGTTTTTTTTCCTTTTTTTTTTTTTTTCGTAATTGGCTACCCTGGATTTAAGCACGTACGGGATGTGTTCAACATGTCAGTTGATCTTCTACCCCACGGCTCAGTGTGCACAGCTTTAGCTTTAATATATAATGTGCAACTGCAGACTCCTGCAGCGTTACACATGAAATTAGTAGATATGCTTTATTAGGTAAAATATCACACAACCTTTTTGCTGATTTGAGCTTTAACATAATAGAGCAGCAGATTTCCTTGTGTATTTAAAAAATGAAGTGATTTTTGGCCCTCCATTGACGGAAATATCAGGTCTGCAAGTTAAATGTAACTTTTGTGTGTGTAAACGGGGTCTAATTTACCCAGGCTTACTATGCATTTTGTTTATCAAATGTCCAGTACAGTCAGGAAGATGCTTGAGACTTCTGTAAAACAAAGTAGCAGACTCTTTACCAGAAAAAAATGTGGATGAATTGTGCTTGCGTGCAAGAAAACTCCAGCTTACTGACAATGAAATGCAGCCTGACATAAGAAACGGCAAATACTTGGCAAATTACCGTCCTAAAGCCCAATCTTAAAATTGATTTTTGCCTGCCCAGAAGTCTAAGATGATTCCGTTACCAGTAAGGTCTTCCTTCCATCCTTCCATCAGTCCATTTTCTCCCACTTATCCAATTCAGAATCGCAGTTGGGCTGGAGCCTATCCCAGCTGTCATAGCGTGAGAGGCAGGTCACCACTCTGTCACAGGGCGAGGGATGAACGATTGCTCACATTCACACCTACAGCTAATTTAGTCTAATAATAACTGGCTAATCACCAATTAACCTAGCCCCGTGCATGTCTGTGGAGTAACCAGGGAGAACATGCAAGAAGAACTCCAGCCTGGAATTGAACTCGGGACCTTTTTGCTGCGAGGCAACTGTGCTAACCACTGTAGCAGTTTCTCATGTTTGTTGTAGATCTGGAACCACATAATGCAGATTGGTAAAGTCTTGTAATTGTTTTAACTCTAGATTGATGTTACTGTAACTGCATATTGCATTCCTGTAACAGCGTAGATTTTCCTCTCACTAATGACGGTCCACCCTCCTTCTGTGCTACTCGCTTACTGGCAGGATTTGCTACATGGCCAGGGTGTATGTGCCAGAACAGTTATGTGGTTTGGTTACATCTTATACCAGACCCAAGCACAAAGTTTCCGGTCTAAGAATACAAGGAGGGTAAATGTTAAATGTTATCATTGTTAAACTGCTAACTCGGAGAATAACCGCCCTGCCAGGGCTGCAACAGTACCGCAGTGTGGCTGCCTGTTGCTGAGTGCCATATCAGGCCATACTGACAGCTTCCTGCTCCACAGACCAATGGTTTGCCTCTACTTGGTCAAAACAAAGTGAACTAAGAGCTGTGGCTTTTGCTGCATCGGGTAAATGAACTGCTGGAGCAAGCAAACGGTCAGTAAAGTGAGCTGTTAGGTTAAACATTTTATGGTTTCCTAAAGTGTTTTTCCAGGATTTTTTTCAGAGTTCAAACTCCTAGACAGGCTGTCAGTTGGCATTTGTGTATGTGCCTGATTAGTGAAAAACATCCTTAAAAAGAAATCAAGTCTGGCTGAGGCTAAAGTTAACTCTGACACCAAAAAGTTGTGGCCCTCTCTACGGCATATCATTCCAGGCATTGTTTAAGTTGTTTGCCAAGTACTCAGTGATTTCATTGTTCTTTCCTGTGTCAGCAGTACATCTTGTTATACCAGGTTAAGGCATCCTTTTTAGATGAGCAGTGTGATTGAACCAGGAAGGGGATCAAGGGTTAGGCTCACATTTATTGCTGACCTTACTTCTCCTGCCAAGCCATCTTATTTTGATCATATATGGCAATAGGGATTCCTAGATGGATGTGTGTGTGTGTGCGCACACAGTTTTTCGGGGGGGCTTTAATGCCAGTGAATGTGAAGTTCTGCAGCTTTTCGTCAAATCCCCTTTATCATGGTCAGATCTAACGCTTTTTAAATATGAAGGTCGACGTAAGACGTGCTCTGCGTATCTGAGAGTTTCGAAAAATCTGTTTACCATATTTAGGCGATTAATTTTCCAGAGAGATGTAAGATAAACGAATATGCACGATTAAAAACCCTTAAAATGTGACAATTGGTAATCTGTTCTCTCTGACAGTTCTTCATTTTATCTCATCGCCTGCAAGACTGACGCATCTACTTGCAAGAAAAAAGATCGAAAGCAAAAGCAGTTCTCACTAAACATCTTTAAGGCCTCGTACATTCTGTGGGGAGACCCCAAACTGTACTTGACAAAACATTTTATACATTATACATATTTATTTTGTGAATGTGTAAAGAAGACAGATATGAGGATAAAGAGAAATCCACCCAGACTTCATTCCATTCATCATTTTTTTTCTGTCTTGTTTATGTGATGTCTTTTAGAAAAGGTTCACAGCCAGGTCCCAGAAAACTGCAGTGGGATGAGTTGATGAGGCAGTATATGTCAGGCTACATATTGCGTTTTGTATAATTTTGCACCTTTCGGTCTCCTGCCTGGTTAGGATGCCCAGTTTAAATCTTTTACTGAGATGTACGCATGCACAAATTCACCATCATCGAACTTGGATAGTGTCTCCTTTCACCGTTTTCTCAGCCAGCCTTGCACATGTTCCTTGTCTCGCTCTATGACACCGTGTCTTTTACACATTTTGCTCTCTAGCACGCAGATGAAAGTATACACACACACACACACAAGCGTTCTTAAAAGAGGGTCATGGCAGGTTCTCTAGAGATTTGAGGCTAGATGGAGGCTGTCCCACATACTGCTTGCTTCCCCCCCACAGTCCCCAGACAGGACGGGTACGTAGCCTGCCTTTCTGTTCTCTGCCAGCATCTTCAGTCCTCTCTGTGGTGACAGAGTGGCATGTTCATTCCTGTTTACTCCCACCAGCTGCCGCGTACAGTAAAGCCCACACTTCTCCCTCATCGCACCGTTTCAACTTCTGTCACTTCAATTTTCTGTTTCGAGTTGGATTTGGAAGGCTGTGCCACGCTTACGCTCTGCATAAAGTGGATTTGTTAAATAATTGCAGCAAATAGCCGTGGCGTACGTTTACTGCCCATGTGTGGACAGAGTGATGTTCTCTCTCTGTCTGTGATGAGATTCCCTAAAATAACAACCACAGCTTAAGAAGCGATATCAATATCAAGGATTTGGCTGGTTTTAGTTGGAGCAGCTGAGCACACTGTGTGTTGTAGATTTAAAAAAAGAAAAAAAAATACTGCTGCAAAGTATTGAATCTTTTGTCGAGCGAGGTTTCTTTTATTCTTTCTTTTTCCTCCCATTTTTGTTGTTCACCCACTCCCACTCTGCCACTCAACACTCATTGCATACACACTGGTAAACAGACAAGGCCATCCTAAGGTGGTGAGATGAAGACGCGTGAGACTGTGTGTATTATGTGCAGCGCTTGCTATAGCATGCATGTTCGATTTACAGCTCCGACACCCACGTACGCGAAGCACTCGGCAGATGCAGAGGCATCGGCTCAAAGCCGTAGAGTTATACCGAGATTCTGACGGGAGGAAGCACAATGAACACAGAGCAAGCAGCCATATATCTGACAGGGAGAAATGGCCCTCCTTGCTGTGTCCTTTTTTTGAAGTGTTTGCAGGGAAAGGGGATAGAAATGGGACATCACAGTGGAGGTAACATCCATGCCTTGAGGTTGACCACAGGATCTGTGTGTGTGTGTGTGTGTGTGTGTGTGTCCACAGTTGGTTAGGCAGGTGGTGTGTGTGTTGCATAGCTGCAGGCTGCCTTGGCTCAGTCCCTTTCCTTTGTACGCCTGAAAGAGGCCAATTTCCAAGATGAATATGTGAAAGCTTAAGACCCTCGCTACATTTTTGCTTAGCCTTCTCATTTTTTAAAAATTTTCCCAGGTGCTGACAAAAACTTATAATGCCTACACGATGCCAGTTTTGTCAGTATTTTCACCTTGGCTGTGTTTATGCAGACGGTTTCTCCGTGCTGAGATTTGATTGCCACGTGCTGACTGAAAGGACCGTTCATAAACCCAGATAAACCAGTGCCGTTCATAGCAGTGGACAGTTATATTTCGTCGTGTGTGTTTTTGCATGCAAATTTACAGCAATGCTGATGACTTCCTGTTCATCGAAAGCAGCGACTCGTTTTGCATGGGGAGGTCAGGTTTAGCAGAAATGGGCACGCTTGTGAACAAGGCCCTGTGGCGGCTGCGTTTGAAGCAGGATGGGAGATTTATAAGATGAGCAGACTGTGTAAACAAAGCAATGCCTTCGTGTAGGTGTGCGCGCACACGCTTATAACCTAATAGACAGCGTAGCAGCCGGGGCTCAACCAAAACTGCTGCACCAAGACAGCAGTGTGTCAAGTCTATCAGGGGTTGTGTCACAAGCTGACATCAGTTGCGTTATGTAAAGGCTTATGAAAGCTATCCTGGCAATGGAATATACAGGTGTAGTGCTTGCTGCCTTTTTAGTTGATGGGGAGCTGTACTGCTTGCGTACTGTTATCATTTCAGCGCCTCTTTGTAATTTGGGTGTTCAGAGCAAGTTTTTGTTGTGTGCTTATTGTCATCGGGTTACCCTCGAGTGAGACTTTGGTTTTTTGGAACAAAGCTCATCGGTTCTGCGATGTGAGTAGTGTTGGTGTGTGTGTGGGCTGTGTAGTGTACCTTGCACTGTTGCGCTGGGACACAATCTCCACTCTTTCTTTTTCGCTCTTTCTCACAGTACCTAGAAGAGAGCTCAGTGTGTGTGCGCACGTGTGTGTGCGCGCGAGCTATTAAAAGGTGACCTCCTTTTTCTAGGTCATTACCAAAAAAGAATGGATGGATTCTAGTTATGAATATCCAAAATTCTTGACAGAGAGGGATGAGAATGGCGAGGCATATTTCTTGCCTCAGGGAGGTTATGAGGGGAGCGAGGGGTGGGGGCGTATTAGTGGGGAAGAGTTGGTGAGGGCATGGAAATGGCTGTGGCTGGCACTAGTACAATTTTTGGGGAGGAAAAAGCGAGGACAGAGGCTTGTAGTGTGTTGTCTGGGGAAAAGAGGGACATGATAGTTAAGGGAACACAGCGGAGGGAGATCTTGTGATGGGGTCACGAGAAATAAATCAGACATTAGGCTGGAGAGTGATCTTCTTGCTCCTTCGGTGAGCCGGTCTGCAGTCATTGCCACTGCAGCCCTGTTGCAAAGAATACGCTCTCTGTGTTTGACTTCTTTTGTTCAGCGTGTAGCCTTCACTGCAGTGCATTGATTCATCCAGGAGAAATGAAGATGGTGCTTTTTTTGCTTTTTAAAAAAAAACAACACTGAACTATAAAGCCTGTCTAGTCTGTTATCCTAAATTGGGCATTTTGTTGGATGGAGGAGAGCCATTTTCCCCTTATGGATAAAGACTTTAGAAATATATTTTTGAGATTAAGCTGTTTCTTCTCCATTGACAGGAAAGTGCCGATCTCTCCCATTCCTTTCACTGTCCTAAGGTGTCAGAACCCCCTGACCTCAGACCATACCCCCTCTCCCGCCCATCCCAAATGTTCTGCTTAACCGAGGCCCTTCTTCTCTGCGGTGAACCAAAATATGAAGAGCACAGAGCGAGCCTGAGGGGCTCGCAGTTATATTTACTGTCTGCTACGAAAGAGAGGAGAGAGAAGGGGCGGATGGGAGGGGTTTAAAAAAGAAGAGGAAAAAAAAAACACAGCAACGAAAAAAGAGGGAGACAGAGGAGGGGTTGCTATGGTAACGGAAATATGGCTGCTCTTCAAAAACCTTGAATGTAGGTGGTGGTGAGATGAGTGTAGCCTATGTGTGTATTTTATTTTTTTTTCCCACCTCGTCTTTCCCTCTCAGTTCTGCAGATATCATTGATGTGCTGGATCCTGTTTGATATCACTGAGAACTCAAATGCCATCAGCCTTTGTTTTTAATATTTATTTATTTTCATGGCCTGAGGGTAAGGTTTTTAAGCAGTATGCAGACCTTAGAGGGCTATTGTGAAATGTAGGTTAGGCCTAACAGACCACCAATCAAGTGTTTTTGTTTTTTTTGGGGGGGGGGGTTTGTTTGTTTTTTGGGGTTTTTTTTTCGGTATATAGAAAGGCTTAAAGTGTTGTTTTTGTTGTCTTTAACTGAAGGAAGAGTATGCGACTCTGACGGTGAAAATAGGGATGTTTTGGTATCAAAATGTACATTTTATCTTGGTTGTTATGATGTTTGAAATATTGTAATAGTTTTACTTCCAAATATGGAATCAGGAGGGCAGGAAAGAATCACTGAGTGAGTTTCGCCCTTTGCCAAAAGTTGACAGCAGGGGTCGTTGTCAGAGGCAGTTCACTGTTAGATGCTGGATATAGTAGGGCAAGCTGTCTTAATCGTCTTCATTAAATTAGCTCATATTTCCCTCACTTATCCCTCCCCCTTTTTTTTCCTAGAAATATTTTTTTAATTGTTTACTTGGCAAACTGTAGTGCAACTTCCTGACACTAGACAAAGAAGCTTTGAAATATGTGCACCCCTAATGAGTTTAGTTAATCAGTTTGGAATGTCAGTCAAGGGATTTTATAACAAGTTGACTAAGGACTTGTATGAGCATCCCGTATTAATATAATTTTGAGAAAAACATAGACAATTATCCTATTAATTACATCAAATGTCGAGTAACTAAATAGAAAAACGGACTGCAGCATGTCTGAGTTCATGTTACAGGTTCGGCTCTGGGTCTTGGCAGAAATGAGGGGTCTGATTTTTCAATATGAAAATGGGACAGTTCAGTGGCATCGAATAGGACTGGGTAGTGATATGGATTAACACCTCAGTGACAACAGATGCAATTTTATTCACAATATATTTCCTTTTCTTGTTGTTTTTTTACTATTAAAATTTTTGCAGCTTTCTGTGTGTAGCTCATTGCTGTGGTGGTGACACATGAAGAGGGAACCATAACATCTTGTCTTGTGGATTTGGTTTTTGTGGAGCCTTTTTTTTTTTTTTTTTTTTCCCCCTGTCCCTGTTAATTCTCATTTCTTGTCTGCCACGTTTATATGAATGTAGACTAAGTAGTAGTGTATACTGTGATGAGTAATTTATAAGCTTTCGTACCCAGCAGCGAGCTCTAATGTGTCCTGGGTCTACCCCCGGGCCATTTCCTGATAGGACCTTACCTCACCTAAGGAAGTGCACATCAGGCATCCCCTTACCTGGCTCATGTCAATGTGGAGGATTAGCAGCTTTAATCTCGGCTCCTCCCGAACAATCAACCTCCTCAACATGTCTCAAAGGGAGAGCAGAGATACTCTTTCTGCCATTCGTATCTGCGAGCTGATAGTAATTGGTGAGGGTGGGAACATGGGTTGATCTGTAAATTGGCAACTTCATGTCCATGCTCAGCTCTTTCTTCACCACAGTAGATCGGCTCCACGTGCATATCATTGCTGATACTATAGCAATACATCAGTTAGTGTCCCGCTCCACAGTCCTCACTCTTACACACGAGCCTAAGTTACTTTAATTCTTCCACTTGGGTAAGAAATTCATCTCGAGTTTAGATTGGGTGGTCCACCTTTTTTCCAGCTGAGAAGCATGGCGTCAGCGGTAGAAGTACCAATGTGAACCAGACTCTTAGGACAGATGAACATGGAGGAATTGGTTGGTAACAACAAGCAAGTACCCATACTCCCACAGGACACCTTAAGGGACACATTTGAATGTTTTCTCAAAGTCCACAGAAGCCTTATCAACTTCCACTGCACAAATTTATTGGCGGAGCATTGGCATCGGCTCATTATCCTTAACTGCCATCGGCTATCTTCAAATAAATAGTTGACCTGTCAGTTCTGGATATCTTATGTTCAGGTGTGATCGAATTTGTGTTCAGTCAGAGGTAGAGAACTAAAAGGAAAGCTAAGATTTTTGTTTCCTTGGCACATGTGGGACTTTCTCTTACTGTGCTCTTTACCAGTTTGGTGTTGCCATTTTTGGACTATACTAGAGTAGCTTTGCATGATCTAAAGTTCAAACTAATCCCAATTCGTCTTTTACTTTGTCTTGATCGAGCTAATCGGTCTGCTTACTGTTGCAGTTTTGCTTTGATTGGGGACCCTCACGATAGGTTTGAACAGCAGGTGTTACCCACACTGTAACTATGATCCTTTGTCTTTGTGCTCAGGTACAGGAGAAAGTGGCAAGAGCACCTTCATCAAGCAGATGAGGATCATCCATGGAGCTGGATACTCTGATGAAGATAAAAGAGGCTTCATTCGACTTGTTTACCAAAACATCTTCACCTCCATGCAGTCCATGATCCGCGCCACTGAGACCCTCAAGATCCCCTACAAATATGAAGACAACCGGGTAAGGGCTATTGTGGTTTTCTCTTGTTAACTTTTATTATTTTAAAAGAGCTTCCATGCCTCTGTGCAATGAGGATTTTGTAAGATTCTGTAAGAAATCGACTAGTGCAGATTTATTTATATTGCTTTCTTTTATAGGGATGGGTCAGGAATGAAACTTATTAGTTCGTCAAAAGTGAAACTGAAGCAGTGTAGCCCTTTTCTTTTCTTTTCTTTTTTTTTTTTTTTTTTTGTTTTTGACGACATCCTCAGTGCAGATGCCATTTT